GGTATTTAATAGGAATGATTGTATAACGGCTTATTTAATATCATTTATTACTCATGATTATATCATTAAAGCTGAGGCTTCATTCCTTTACCTAGAATTATCTATAAAAGGAAGAAGTATCATCATTTGTAAGGACACAGAATACTATTGAGAATTTATTGTAATACACATCTATTTGCTTCTTTACCATCGTTCTCAAAAGTATTTTATTTTTGTCTCCTGATTATCAGTAACCCGAATTTCTTTTTAGCTTTGACCAAAGACTCAGATTTTTGGTTAAACACACACCAAGTTCACATGCAACGTACGTACACTAAAGCTAGTAGTATAAAATGTTGAAAGATCACAAAATAGCCTACTATTACAAAACTTTTTTAAAAAAAATATTGCAATTAACAAAAGTAATGCTTAATTAATTCTCTTTAGTCGATGATTTTATTCCATACCCTACTACATTCTGAATACAATCACGGCGAAATACAAAAAAATAAAATATTCTTGTTAAGAGTCGAATTCAAGACCTCCACTTACATGCGCTCTAACTAAGGGTGTCTAACGGGTGGGCCGGGCTGGGCTGGATAGGAAAAATTAGTAACCGTACGGGTTGGAGTCCAGGCCGGTTACGGGTTGGGGCTTACCGGGTTTAACGGGTTTGGGTTCATCCGGATAAAAAATGAATCATAAGGGTTACGGGTACAAGGGGTCGGACGGGGCCGGGTTAGTGTAATTTTTAATTTTTTTTTTTTGTATTTTGTATAACTATTGTAAGTTATATTAATATAAAGTAAAAATATAAAGAATACAATGAAGAAGGGAAAAAATTGCACTTATAAATTGCAAGTGCTACATTTATTTCAAAATTCAAACTTATAAATTGAAATGTTTACATTTAACACGAAGTAAATTAACCCAAAAAGAGTAAATTCAAAGATTTTGCATTGCCTTAGTAAGTTCGTCATAATCAATATGAACTGAGTGGCCTTCTTTTGGAGTGTTAAATTCGGATGGGTTACCATGTGTTAATATATCTCCAAGTTCCTCGCCTTCTGGGCTATCAATATCTTCACGTCCTTGATTTCTTCGTTCCGATCTAATCCAATGTCTGAAACATACTAAAACTTCCAACGCATTGCTTCCCAATGAGTGACGGGTGTCTCCAAGTTGTTGTCTTGCTTGGCTAAATGCACTCTCTGATGCAACAGTTGAAATTGACACATTCAGCACGTTCCGAGCCATAGCAGAAAGAATAGGAAATTATTTTCCATTTTCATGCCACCATCCCAACGGTGAAAATTCCTTTGTGCGAGGCTTTTTTGCTTCTGCAAGTAGAATTGTAGTTCATCAATGTTCCTGCTACTGGTTTGAGTGTTAGAAAATGTAGAAAAAATATTAAAACTATCAAGGCATTCATCATAATCCACAGTAGTAGAAGTGGTACAGTGCGTAGTGGGATTAACATTGCCTACATTAAGAGTAGCACTATCAATTACATTTGCATAAGAATTATATAATTGTTGTAAAGAATCATTTAGCTTGTTCATATATATATATATATATATATATATGGGGTTTCAGTTGGTCCAATCTCCATATAAGTATATAAAGCATTCATTAATTGGTGACAATCAGACATCTTAATATAAGGATTTAAAACAACACCAATTAAGTATGTCACACCTCCTTTTTCGCCCGCGCCGCCGCAAAGGGGCGCGGAATGGAGTTTTTTCCAATTAAAGGACAATCGAAACGGGATTTATTTATTTATTTCAGAGTTGCCAC